TATATACATTTAGTTAGTTAGTAAGACACTTCAAGGTAGGTACTATTCTCAATCCCCAGTTTACTGATGAGGAGACTGAAGCTCAGATAAGTAAAATGATTTGGCCAGGGTCACACAGCTAGTAAATGTCTGAGGCAGTATTTGAACTCAGATCTTCCCAACTCCAAGTCCTCATAACAACTGGGTGAAGCAGGTTCTGTCATTATCCACATTTCACAGTTTAGGAAGCATCTGAGGTCGGATTCAAACCTAAGTTTTGCTAACGCCAAGTCGAGCCCTCTATCCATCGGACTCTCCTACCTCCTTATGGAGACCCTTCTCCATAAGTGTAATAACTGACAAAACTCCAGGACTCCCTAGGAATCAGAAGCTAAATTCTCTTAAATGCCTGGGGGGCATCAGCCCAACCACGAATTTCTAGAATTCCCAGGAAAATAAAAATCACAGGATCACAGTTTCGAGCAGGAAGGGATCTTGGCGGCCATCCAGCCCAACTCCCTTATGTTACAGAGGAAGAAATGGTGTGGTACAATGCAAATCCTGGTTCCTGAGCTGGAAGGACCCAGGTTCAAATCTTTTCCTTAACCCTTACTTATATAACCTCAGGCAAGTCACTTAAGTGCCCTGAGCCTCAGTTTCCTGATTTGTAAAGTAAGAGGATTGGAATAGAGGGCTTCTGAGATCCTTCCAGCTCCAAATTTATGAACCCAGACTCAGTCAGAGACATGAACCTTCGTGCTCAAAGTTGCACAGGCAGTGAGTCACAGAGCCAGAATTTGAACCTAGGACTTCTGACTCAAAATCTAGTACTCTTTCCACTGTTTCCATCCTACAGATGGAAAAATAGGACAAGCTGCCATGCCCTGCTCTGCGCTGTTGACAAGTTGGATTTTGTTTTGTTTGTTACAAATAACGCTATTTATTTAGTCCGTTAATGCTCTTCATTTGAGAGGTGCCTGGGTTCATCCCAGGCTATTATGGTCGATCACGTCAGCACCTTATGGGACTAAGGATGAGCCAAGTGAGATTAATGCCATTATGGTTTGAATATTAATGTGCACATTGGAGGGAACAGAGTGTTCGGGGAGCAGGCGGTAGTGGCAACACCACGCCCAGCCCCCCTGCTGCCACAGTAAGGCTGCCCAGTAGCAGACGCCCAAACAGGGTGCCACGGAGTCTCAGATTAAAATGGCCCATGAGGACGTTCCTAGTGACCTTGAGAACACTGAACATATTTCTCAGGTGTGCACCTCTTTCAGCTCCCAGCCAACTGGAGCAGGAGGGAAGGTGTGGACTTTGGGGGAGGGCAGACGTGGCACCTGTGTTTCCAGTGAGTCATTTTTTCACAAGAGGCCCAGACCTGGGAGAGGAGGTGGGACTGGGGTGGGGTGGGGGTGGGGGGGTGTTGCTAGAGCAACAGCTCGTACTCTGCTGGCTCTGCTGGTTAGATTCACATGAGCGCACACTCAGAGTTCCACGGTGGTATCCCAGGTCAGTCAGCCCCCCAAAAGAGAATAGCCCCACTTGAGAAATTCCATATACATAAAGAGAGGTGCAAAGCTGGCAAAGCCCAGGAAGGGCTTGGGTTGTACTGGACAAGGAGCCTGATTTGGTGGTCAGGAGAGGTCATGACCTCTGCCCTCACATAGCGTCAGGCAACCTCAAAGTACCTTGTCTTGGCTGTCCACTCTTCTAGAGTCAGTCTTAAGCCGGAGAGTAAGGTGGGGAAGGGGTTCACAGACTAGGGAGGGGGTGATAAAGCTTGGCGGGGAAAGGAGGCAGAAAAAGAGAAGCCCTTGAAATGGCAGCCAATTCACCCCAACCCAAGCCTCTATTTACTGAGCTGTTCCTCCAGCCTCAGACCCATCCTGGTGCCCCAGGGAACTGAGCCAAGGCCAGCCATCTGTAGGGGATGGAGTGGGGAGGAACCAAGCGGCACCCGCTGGGAGTCTGGACCAAAGAGCAGATGTTCTGCCTTTAGTTCTCTCAAGCCCTAGCAGACATTTGGGCCACCCCACAGTAGCCTGCAGTCCCTGCCCCCAGAGTGGCTCAAGAGAGAATGGGCCTGGAGCTCCATTCACTTGTCCACTTGTTCCCTCTTGGGCTGGCTGACTTGGATGGGGTAGGGCTGGGAGGCATGTATAGCCCAGGGATGTATGATTATAGGGAGATTTTCTCTTGTCCCCATCTTTTTATACTCTACTTTTCTAACCCTTTCCATTACTGTTTCAGCCCCTCTACCCTTTCCAGTTCTCCCAAACCCCTCCACTACTGCCCTATCCATCCTGTCAGAAGTAGGCATCAGGGGGCCTGAAGAGCAATGGAAGGGAGCTTTGCCTAGGAGCCACAATCTCCCTGTACCAGTAGAGGGGTTTGCCAAGTGGCTTTATGCCTGTGAGCCTCCAGAGAGCCTTTTAGTCTCCCCACAGGCCTTCCTCCCCCTAATTAGAAGCCCAGAAGATACAACTTTTGAATTACCAGTAAATAATTAAGTCGAATTGAATTTAGCCACTTTGGCCCAGACATTGGAAAGTCAGGTGTCTTCCTCTGGTTGTAGGGGCCCATGATGAGCTGAGCATAGAGCCCTCCCCTGAGGAAGCGTTTCAATGATACTCAGCCTAGTCTCTGGAAGAATTATTCTGGTCCAGAGGCAAGGAGTGTCAGGGGCCCTGGACAGGATCAGACAAATCCCACCCTCCCCACCATGCTTCCCCCCAGGGTAAAAGAGGCCCAAGTCTGTCTGCATGGTGCACATGGCCACAGCCTCTGATAAAACATGTCAGTAATTAGGTTGTAAGAAAGACAGTCCACATGTCACTTGACAAAGACACAAGGTCTTTACCAGGAAATTAGAACCAAATTCTGGATCCTGGGATTTCAGAGCAAGCAAGTTGAGGGGATTCAGGACTAAAGGAAAGGGGTTTTTCTCACTCCCCATTGGGACCCAGGATCTCAGGACACATGCCTTCCTCAGGAACATGGAGATGAGCCCCTTGCTCTCCACGTCTGACTCTCAGAATGGCAACCAGAGAAATAGATGCAGACAATGAGACTGAGGGATGGAGACAGAGTTGTGAGATATAGAGGCCTTCACATACACAAGTCACATCTAGAGACATGTACAACAAACACATACACATATACACACACACACACACAGAGTTAAGGACTGAACTCAGGCTTCTCCAGAGAAAAGGGCTCACATACATACAAACAGGCAGACACATGCATAGACACACAGACAAGACACACAAACAGGGATACGTAGCAAAAAGCAAATACAGATAGGCTTGCAGGGAATCACTGAGCCCCTCACATGGTGACATGAGGAGGCAGATTCCCACCCCACCCCCATTAAGAAAGACACATACACCCACATACATAAAAACAGGGAAAGAGCGATGAGAGAGAGAGATGGGGGGGGGGCTTTCACCCACGACATTTCCCATACAACACCATTCTCCAGGGATTTTTAGCTGCTCTGGCCAGAGGTTGCCACAGAGTCAGGAAGACCCCTATAGCTCCCTACCCTTTGAGCCTATCAGCCTCCTTCCCCTCAACTTCTAATCTTGGTAATCTCTTTCCTTATCAGCAGGGCATTGACTAAGGAGCTAGCAAAGTGCTTGGAGGTCTTACCCTGAAGTCTATGCCCACGGTAGAAATGAAGGTCCCAGCCAGGAAGGCGCCATCCTTGAATCGAACCAGCAGACAGGTCTTCCCTACGCCAGAGTCTCCTACCAGCATCACCTGAGGAGAGGGTAGGGCAGATAGTCAGGCCTAGGAAAGCAAGAAGAATTTCCCTAGCTCTGGAGGCCAGGGAGCTTATTAGGAAAGAGGGACCATCTAGGAGATGGGACCTCAGGGCAGCACCCTGTCAGCCCTGGAAGGGGTGTCAAGAGTGTTGGCAGCATCTGTAGACCCAGCCTTGGGTCACTTGGTCCATAGCCTGGATAAGCAAGTGTGCTTTATCCTCAGCAGATTACAGTGAGTATAACAAAGCCCACCCACTCTGTCCTGAGCTGCCACATACTTCTGGGTTCCTCAGTTTCTTCTCCCATCTCCGCCATAGCATCCCCAAACACTGAGCAGTGAACAGGAAAACAGAAAGGGCTAATAAAGAGTTAGCTTGGCAGTGATTCTTATCCCACAATGCTCTACCCCCAGGATCCCAGGTGAAGGACTGTCCTGGGATGATGGAGGCATAGAAAGTCTAACAGCCTCTCCCTGTTATGAACTGTCCCTGAATGGCTACCCTCTGTCCTTCTCCAGGGAATCCTGTAACCTGTCTCCATTTCCCATGGATATAATACTAATTTTTTGTGGGGTGGGGGGGTGTTTCATTGGCATAGGGAGCTCCCAGAGTGGGAACTCCTTTCATTAATGCTGATTGTTGATTTATCTATGAATTTTAGCACAGTGACTGGCACAAACCAAGCACTTAATAAGTTCTTGCTAACTGACTAATCGCCTCGAGTTGCCTTTGCAGATTAAATGACTTACCCAAGGTCACACAAGTCAGTACATTTCAAGGTCAAGATCTGAACCTAAGTCTTCCTGACTCTAAAGCTACCTCTCTATCTAAAACATGCTTTGCTACCTCTCAAAAATAACAACAGTAGTAATAAAACTCACATTCCTATAGTGCCTTAAGGTTTACAAAGCACTTTCTTCCCAACAGCCCCATGAAGTAGGCAACACAAATATTTTTATCTCCATTTTACGGAAGAGGAGACTGAGGATCAAGGAAGGTAAGTAATCTGTCCAAGTTGACATGCCTTTTGTCAGAGCCATGACCAAACACCCCAGTCACCTCCTATTCAGTCTACCTCCAAAGTGTGATAATGATTGCTAATATTTATGTTATACTTTATAGGTTACAAAGGATTTATATCCTTTTTTTAAAAAACAACTTCATCTTCACAACAGCCCTGTGTGGTAGGGAGCATGTGTACCCCCATTTTACAATAGAGAAAACCAAAGCCCAAAGAAGCTAAATGCTTATCCAAGGTTACCCAACTATTAAGTGGCAGAGCTAAGATTGGCCTCTTGACCCCCAACTCAAGATTCTTTCCTACATACCACAGGTCCTTCTAGGAGTTTATCTGAGCAGAACCCTACTCCCCCCAAACTGGAACTCCTAAACTTCAAGAGTATTAGTTTATCCCCCACTTTCAAGAGGATGATCTGACACCCGCCACCCCCCAACCTAACACCTTTGCCTTCAAGAGGCACGATCTGATTCCCCTTTGCCAACCTAACATCTTCCCTTTAAGGAGGTGAGATTTGAGCTGCACCCCCTATACCCATTATGTGTGATCTGAACCCCATCCTACCTTCATCTTCAGGAGCTGTAATTTGACTCCCCAACAAAACTCTAGCCTTAAGAGGTATGATCTGAGCATACTCCCCACACACACACACAGTCTGACACTCTCAGATATAAACTGATACCCCACTATGAGCTTGGGGAGCTCATGAAAATATGAAAGCTGAACATGAAATATGGCTAGGGAGAATCTCTCTCTTGAGTTTATCTTTTCCCCTTGGGAGGTCAAGGAATTGAAGAGAGGGAATGACTACATATGTTTTTATGTGTGGTAGGGGTAACTCCATGTAGGATGAATCAATGCTTTCCCCTGACTAAAGGTCTCAGCTGATATCTGTGCCAGATCCTAGAGGTCCTCTGAATTAAGGAATCCTTTTCCTTGGCTCTAGACTATGGAGACCTCCACAGCAATGCTGACCAAGTATCCACTCAGAAACTCCCATTTTCCCTCTACTTGCTGTAGTTTTTAGCCAGTGAAGGCAGAAGGGCCTCATAGGGTGCTGACCCTTCCTTACTCAAGTTGATGTCAGCTTCTCAGATTCTGGATGTGCTGGCTGCCCCAGGGGTCAAGATTAAGAAATAGCTAAACCCTGCTACCACCACCCACTCTCCAACTCATTTACAAGTCTGCGTAGGGGGACTGATGGAGAGGCTGCACCAGCCTGAACTTCTTGGGAAGTCACAGGACTAAGAGCCCAATTGGTACCCACGATTGCTTGACTACTCCCAAATGGGCAAGGGCCTTTCATTGCTGGCAAAGGTCCCCATCTTGAGCACTCAGTAATGTGGGCCAACACTTGTAACGGGCAAGTCCCGGTAATGGGTGATATACGGAAACTACTGACACATTAGAGGGGTTACAACCCAACTCCCCAATTTCAATTCAATATGGCAACTTAACAAGCATTTATTAAGTGCCTATGATGTACAAAGTGTAACGGTAGGCAACAGGGATACAAAGACACATTCTACAAGGGGAATACGACATTCACACAGCTAAGTAACTAACCACAGGATAATCTGAGGAGGGAGAGAGTAGTAATAAGCAAGGCTAATAATCAAGGAAGAGTACTAATAATCAGGAAGGGCTTCCTGTAGGAGATAGCATCTGAGTTGAGTCTTGAAGGAAGCTAAGGATTCTAAAAGGTAGAGGTGAGGAAGGAGATGGGACTTGGAGTTGGGGAAACAGCTAGTAGGCCAGTCTGGCTGAAATACAATGAAAGAAGGGGATTTTGTGAAATAAATTGGAGAGGTAGGCTGGAGCCAGACTTCAAATACCAAGCTAAGGAGTTTGTAGATTATATTAAAAATAGAGAATCACTGAAGACATCCTTTAAGGAAATGTCAAAAGAGGAGACCCCAAAAAAGCCTGAAAGCAGTAACTCCGAGATCAATAAAATCTTTTGGAGTTAACTTCCAGGAGAGGTCACTGCCAGACTTGCTGAAGGGGAAATGGAGAGATCCTTGGGCTACTTGTCTATCGGCTCTATGGGGAGGGTCTACTTCTTTCATTTCCAGAGCCATCATAGAAAATCTGAAGAGTTAAGGAACACAGAAAGGTTCTTTTGTCTATACCCGGCTCCAGTGGTCAAAAACAAAGGGGAACATCAGTAGAAAAGGGCTTGCAAGTCCCTTTCTAGTCTTCTAGATCCCCCACTACAAACCGTGGCCCTGCAGGGCTTGAAGCAAAACCAGAGCTTAGGAAGGGGATGCATGTATTTGCTGAGGAAAAGTCACACCAGGCCATCCCAGCTTCCAAGTCCCACACTGTTCCAGGGCCCTACGAGCGAAGTCGTGCCCTCGGCCACCTGCTGCTGCACCCTTTGCTCATAAAGTCTGCCCATCCCACCCCTGGTATCGTCACCCCTCTTCCCCCCTTCCCAGCCCTTTATGGTCTGTGACTCTGGGCCAACTGCCCTCAGTCCTTTAGGGTTTGTGTCCCTGTGCCAGCCACTGCCTGTGCTCCTGTGCCAACCTGCAGCCCAAGGTCTGTGCCCTCTGCCAACCACTCCTAGCCTATGTCTGTGCCTATCACTGTCAGCCACGGTGGGTCTATGCTTCGTCTGTCCACCAACCTCTAAGGATCGGTTCTTCACCTCCCCCCTCCTCCGCTGTTTCCCTTAGGATCCCAGCGCTTACCTTGAAAGCAACGTCGTAGAAATCACCGCTGCAGCTAAGGGACGGGCGGCCTGGCAGCAGAAGCCCGTTCCTCGGTGCCTTGGGGGCAGGGCCAGGGCCCGGGCTAGAGCCGCCCCCTCCGGAGCCCACCGGCCCATTCTCCTTGGCTGTGGGCAGAGAAGAAGCGGGCGTACTCCCCGCCTTACTCTTAGGGGTCTTTTTCCTGGACATCGTGGGTCAGGGGTCTGGGGATCCTAGGGGTCCCGAGGCACGACGTTCACTGCGCTCGGACTCGGGCTCTGGCTGCTCTGTTCCCCAGACGGCGGCGAGCGCCCCGCGGCAGCGCCAGCATCCTCAGCCCGGCGGCGGCGCAGTGCCCCGCGCAGCACAGCGCATCCCCAGCCCGGCCCCGCCCAGAGCCCAGCTGAGCCTGGCCCAGCCCGGCCCAACCCTGCCAAAGCCCCTCTCCCGGCACGCCCCCTGGCTCACCCTGCCTCTGACAGACAAGCCTGGCAGCTACTCAACCCCTGAGCTTCACCACCTCTACCAGTGGAAGTAAGGAGAGGGCTGAGCCCATGCAAACAACATTGGACCAGTCTCTGGGAGATGCCCTGGGGAGAAGGATCCCAGAGTTGGGGGAGTTGGGGAAATGTTGTGGAAAGGGGAGTCCCTCCTGCTGTCCACTCGGCGTCCAGACCTCCTCTTCCTCCCCCTCCATCCCCACCTGATCTTTTGCGGGGAGAGGGAAGGAACATATACATATGTAGATATACGTAGACAGACATATACCAAGAAAAAGTAGCACACAGCCACAGACACGAACACAGGTACAGACAGGCACACATAAACACATTTAATTCGGTTGAACAAGTATTAAATACCTCCGATGTGGAAGCCATTTTCCTAGGTGAGAGGTATGAAACAATTCAATTCAACCAGCATTTATTAGGCACCTACTATATGCAAGGCACCCACCATGCTAGGTGGTGGGGATACCAAGACAAAGGAGTTTATATTCTATTGTGAGGAACGTAATTCTTGATCATGTGGAGCTTATGATTTAGTAGAAGAGATAAGATACTATAATGCAAATGAGAGTGAATAATATTTGTATAGGAATGAACGATTCACTAGGATAAGTGTGTAGGAGAGGCCTAAACAGGATATTTTGAGAGATTAAGAAAAAGGGAGAATTCACTTATAGCTCGAGGGGAAGCTTGACTGTAGAAATAGCACCTGAGATGGGTCTTAAAGTAATGGAAAGATTTCAACAGGTGGAAAGATGTTTGTGGGTATGGGGGAGGGGAGATGCCAAAAACATTGTAGGCACATTTCCCGCTATTGGGGAAAAGGTTCAGAATAAGATAAGAGTAAGGCAAACATTCCAGTTTTGCTGGAAAGTAGAATTTGTGAAAAAAAAAATTGTATGAATAATGCTTGGAAAGGTAGGTTGGAGTCAAACTATGGAAGGCCTTGAATGTCAGGATGAGGAGTCTGTATTCCACAGGCAATGGAGACCTTTTGAGCGTGATCAGCATTATACATTAGGAAGATTAATCTGGTTGCTCTGTAAAGGATGGATTGGAGGAGGAGACTGGAGGCAAAGGAGTTTGTTACAAGAGTCAAGAAATGATAAGGGCCTGACCTAGTGTGATGGCTGTTTGAATGGAAAGGAGATGAAAGATTCAATAGGTACTGTGCAGGCAGAATTTATAGGACTTGGAAACTGGTTGAATGTTTGAGGGAAAGAGAAAAAGGATGAGTCAGGCTTCACAAAGGTTTTGAGCCTTGGTTGTTAACTGGATGGAGGGTGGTACCTATCATAAATTAAAAAAAAAAGAGAAAGAAAAGTTGGGCATAGGGGCAGGTTTTAAGAGAAAATGAAAAGTTTGGTTTTGCATACATTGGGGTTTGAGGCACCAGAGGAATACACAGATGGAGATATCCTGTGGGCAATTGGAAAGACAGGCATGGAGCTCTGGGGTCAAGGCTGGAAATACAGATTTTCACATTTGTATAGAGGTGTTAAATTGAAGCCATGGGAGTTGGTGACTTCAGTAAGAGAACTGTTGTAGAGAGAAAGGAAGGGAGGGAAAAGAAGAGAATTGGATGGGAAGGAAGGGAAGGTTAAAGAAGAGTCTTAGAAAATTCTCTAATTTAGGAGGTAGAAGAATGATGGAAAATAGCGAGACAAAGTAGGAACAAGAGAGTTAAGAAAGTGATTAAAAGAGGGCAGTGTCATAGATGCCAAGGGAGGGGAAAGAAGAAGAGGACCATAGATTTAGGGACCTCAGAGGGCACCCAGTCCAACCCCCTTATTTTACAGATGAAGAAACTGAGGCCCAGAAAGATTAAATGACTTGCCCAGGGTCACACAAGCCAAAGTGGGATTTGAATCCAGGTTCATCTGATATAAAATCTAGGGGATGGTAAAAATGTCAAATGTCACAGAAGGAGCAAGCAGGATCAGAAGATTTTAGAATTGGAAGGAACCACAAAAACAATATAGTCCAAAGTTCTCATTTTACAGAGGAAGAAATTGAACACACAAGTCCAGATCCAATGATCTTTCTCTACATGATCCTGCTTTAGTAGAATTAGAAGAAAGGACATTGGATTTGGCAATAGGCAGTCATTAATGACTCAGGGAGAGCAGCTGGTGGAGTGATTGGGACCAAGGCTAGACTGCAGGGCGTTGAGGAGTGAGGGAGTAATGAGAAAGTGGAGTCAGGTGCAGATGAGTTTTTCAAGAAATCTGATAGTAAGGGAAAAGGGAGGGATAGGATACCATCCTACACTCAAAGGGGCATCAAGGTCAAGGGGAGATCTCAAGGTTATTGGGCTAAAGGAGGTCAAATAGGTTTCTGGAGAAGAAAACAATAGAGGGGGACAGAATTAATATACCACCAGGGTTATTAGAGAAGAGCCCCCAAGGGAGAAGAAGGCTAGGGACTGTAAACTGAAAGAGAGAAGGAAGGCCATGGCAAAGACCTACCAGTCACTACTCAAACTGACCAAACCCTGCCTTTGTTGCAAAGGTTGTTGTCTCCAGGCCTTCCTCATATTTTCTCCTTATCCCTTGTCCTATTTCAGGCTAAGCCAGGGAAACTAGCCCTCTCCTCACCTCTACCCCTAAGCTCAGGCTCTAACTTGGGAAATGGATCTCTCCATCAACGTCCCTGAGGATGGCAGGGACAACTATCAATGGCCAGACAAATGGAAGGAAGGAACGGATGGACAGAACCCTCATCCATGCTCATGAGGGTTCCAAGACCTCAAAAGTTGGATTCTGAGGCCTGACATGAAGGAAGGGCCTGTTCCCACTGGTACTTGACCTTTCTCCACAGGGTATTAGAGAGTACACAGGGAGGCTCAGTCCTCACAGGACTAAGACTTTCATAATGAAGCTAGCTTCCCCTGCTCCTCACCCCCAGCTAGAACAAGCTTTATCCATGAAAAAGGCTCTCCTTCCTCTTCCTCCACCTCCTCCTCCTCATTCCCCTCACCCCCTCAAATACATTCTATTCTCTATATACAGGATATCCAAAAAGTCTTAGTATAATTTTAAACTTTAAAGCTTAAGACTTTTGGAATAGCATATACACGTACACGTATGTTATATTATGTACATATATGCATTTATACATACACACATAACATATATATTTAGAATCTGTATTTATGAATATTTCTAGCTTTATAAATCCTAGATTCATGGAATCATACAGCTGGAAGCAATCTTAGATATCATCTATTCTAACTTCCTTATCTTATTTATTCTTTAACTTAAAAATTTTATTGTTGCTTTTAGTTTTGACATCATAGTTATTTCCCCTCAAACTTCATTCTCCGTGCAACTGAACCCTGTCTTATAACAAAAAAAAACATTTGAACAGAACCAGCAGACACAATGCCCTAGTCTCACTGGGTATACCACATGCCACATCCATAGACTCCCACCTCTTTACTAAGAGGAGGAATTCCTACAGTTGGCCATATCTCCAGCTATCCCTAATTGCTCTGTGCTTCCTGCAATTCCACTCTACAAGAGGACCATAGGGCTCTTGAATGAGGATCCTTCAGGGAGTCTGTGGCTAGTAAAGGTGTGGAAGGGAGGACTTTGAAAATGAGGTGGAAGATTTCCCTTTAGGCTCCTGGACCTGGGTTATATGCTGGGCTGCCTGTGTGATGGTTTTATTGAGATCTTCACTCTCATTATTTTCAGGGGGAAAGTGATGGAGGGAGGGACGACTGTGGGACAAGGAGAGTCCTACAGGTTTTGAACTCTTCCTATAGTAGAAGGCTGCCCCCTGGAGTTAGACTGTTAGTCTGCGCTCATCCGTCACTGGCCTCTCCTTCACCACTGGCCACTGGTCTGTTCATCCCGTCTGATGCATCCACACATACGAACATATTATATGTGTATACGTGTGCATATATACACACATGCACTCACATCTCTATATACACATAGTCATGTGTAGTCACAGGTAGGTAGTTACCTATATGTAGGTAGTCATATACTGAGAAATACACCTGGCCATATATAATCATATACATACTTTTTTTTTTTTTTTGCTTTTTGGTGAGGCATTTGGGGTTAAGTGACTTGCCCAGGGTCACACAGCTAGTAAGTATCAAGTGTCTGAGGCTAGATTTGAACTCAGGTCCTCCTGACTCCAAGGCTGGAGCTCTATCCACTGCACCACCTAGCTGCCCCCCAATATACATACTTATGAGCATGGAAAAGAGGCAGAAGACTTAGGTTTGAATCTCATCCCTTAGCAGGTCACTTAATTTCTCTGGTCCTCAGTTTCCTCAACTATAAAATGAGAGATTGGACTAGATGATGTCTGCTGTCCTTTCCATCTCTAAAACTGAGATCCTATTAGCCTATGTAGTCACATACATATACATGGTCAAACATCTCCATACATATGTAGTGACATTCAAGCACACAATCACACAACTATATACATGAATAGTTACATATGTTATCACAGATGTGCAGTCACAGTCAGAATTCATATCTATCTGGCTTAACAATGGACCCCCTCTCATTTCCTCATCTCACATGATTTCCATCTTCTGGTTCATACTGAGAGACGACCCCCAGGTGTGGCCATGGTCTTCCCTCATCAGAACACACATATATAAATACATACAATTGCATGTAGCTATAAACACCATATGTCCTCATACAACATACAAATACATATATAACTGTATATGGTCTCACAAATACACACAATCACAGACATACAGTCTCCACAGAGGCAGACAGAGAGTGGAATTGTTTGCAG